TTGCTCTTTCATTTCAACCACAAGAAAACTTACACACACACACACACACACACACACATATATATATATATATATATATATATAAGAGCATTGGTTAAAAGAAAATGAATCAAGCACCTCCAATAACTTGGGTTTGAAATTGCTATCAAGCATCACATCGACTCCGTACATAGCCCTAGATGTTGAACCGTGCATCTCTGGATGAACTAATGCTGCTGACTCAAAAACCTTTCGGATCATCTCCTTAACCCTTGAATGGATTTCCCACCATTCAACTGCAATTATCAACAAGATAAATCATAAGAACCAAGTACCAAAAAGACATCCAACAACATTCGAGAGGAACACAATAGACCAAACCAAACGAGCCAGTATATTCCGCCAAAAGGTGGTGTGTAACCTAGCATCTACCTCCAAAAAGTAGAACAGTTGTTTCCATGAAAATCCCGGCTTGTAAAGAGAGGAACAAAGTAGATAAAAGGTAAAAACAATCAAACCTTGATGTTCCTGTTCAAAGTCCTTAACGAACTCCGGTGTGTTCATATGATTCAATTTTCCCCTGTAATTCTGATAGTTTGGGAAATAATAGTAGCAGTCAATAAATTAATAAAGRTTAATCATAAGATATGCATTACAATTACTTAAAAACCCAAAAACCGGTATAATCAGACACCAGCAAATTWTGATTATAATAGCTTTAAGATTACCATAACAGTAAAATGGGTCTCGTACTCGTACAAGCTTTTCTTGTCTAGAGAGTAGGCGTTGTTAGCCAGTCTAACCTGAAAGTGTACGAAAACGCATTAAAAATGAAGATATGAATCAAATTCAGTAATTCACCAACAAGCCGTCTTGACTAGTCCACGCCRCATACCCAGAAAATGTCGGTGATGAATAACTCCAACGGGTTCATATTTCGAACAAGAACAATGTACCGAAGATCAAACTTCTTCCCCCTGTATAAAACTGGGTGCTCGATATACTTTTGACATATTTTTGGGCCAGTTTCCATGAGACGTATAATTGCAGATAAATTTCCCGTAACTGATGTATCTATAGTTCTTGCCATGTTCCAAGGCTTCAAAATCCATAAATTGTCAGCCCTATCATTTTCTCGTACATAATAGTCACCAATAAATTGCGTTAGATGTGTTTCAAGATTATAAGTAGGCTGAAACCACTCGGGAGATCCATAAGCCTGTAAAAGTAAGGATTCGCGTAAGCAAAATCTTCCCACAAACATTAGCTAATAACCTTCCGACATGTTTTCTTTAAATCCATGACTTCCGAACAGGTTCTGAGAGAGATTTGAAAACGCTGCTTAACAGAAGATTGTCTCTTACAAACACAAGAACGCCTAGAAACTTGTTCGGTAGATCATGGATTTTAACAAATTACAGAAACGCGATCAAGACCTTCTGGACTGTCTCTGCCAGATGRTGTTTCATGACGAGGCAGGCTTCAAAAGGAAATTGATTTATGTATTGGTGATCTTTTAGCCCTGTAGCCTTCTTCGTTTCCTCATCCACCTGCCAGCTTGTCCATATTATATCTGCTTCCTTCAGGTCAGTTGCTGCATCCATTGAAATAGAAAGAAAACCTTGAGGAGGAGAAACGAGGTAACGAGAATGTCCACTTCCAATCATTTGAAGAAAAAGCTTTACGCTATGTTTGGCAAACTAGCGGTTGGCTAATAAGCTAGTTGTTTGTTGATAAAACTAGTCATGTTTGATAAATAAATTTAAGGAAAAAAAACTAGCCGATAAGCTAAATAATGTAAAATGAGCTAAAAAGCATGTAGGAAAATTAATTGAAAAATACAAGGGGTTAATTGGAACACTACTTGAAGTAGCATTTTCAAAAGTTTGCTTATAAGCTAGCCTATGGCTAAATGACCGAGGCTTTTTCAATAAGCTCAAAGAATAAACCAACTTATAAGCTAGCTTATGGTTGCCAAACATGGACTTTATTAAAAAAATTCCAATAACAGCACATACTGATTATGAATCCTGGGTGAGTCAAAAGTTCTTCCACTGATGGAATATCTGTATAAACACGCAAGGGACGTCCGTCACTACGTACTAGACTATTGGTAGGAGATGCCTTACTAACTGGGAGAGAACTTGTTGATTTCAAATTCTCCCAAAACGTTTCATACTCCTGTAGAATAGATGACATGTAAACATAAAGACRGTGGTTTTAACTTTTGATACTAATCTGATAGACCTGTAATAAGATTCACGTATGCTAAGAAATGAATATTGAGAAGAATAAGTTAACCAAGTCAAACCAAATGAGCCCAGTATATCCCACCCGGAGGTGGGGTCTGGAAAGGGTAAGATTTACACAGACCTGACTTCTACCTCAAATAGCATTGTGTTTGCTTTCGTGAAGACCCCCCCCCCCCCCCCGGGCTAGTGAAATTGAGAAAAGTATAGTTCAGTAATTAGCATGATTTTGTTACAAAGAATCAGTCAGAAAGGGAAGTSGATCGGTGGTTGCACGGAGGTATGAGAGTCCAGCCTCTTGGATGCTGATTTATTCAATAAAAGTTGAGGGATTTCTTTCTCTTTTCAATTCTAGATTTTTATCACAGTATTAGAAGACTCATCTTAAGCTAGAAAATGCGTACTTTGATGAAGTATTTCTGTGGGGTATGAAACCAAGCAGTAAGCCTGGCAGAACGCTGCTTCGCCTCTCCGATGCCAAATAGATAATCACGAGTGCACTCATCACCATACTGGACATTGTTGGCAGGCCAAAGAATTGTAAAGCTGAAATTGTAATCCAATCAACATTAAGATCAGATGCTAATCAGAAGCAAATATAAAGATAGGTTAAGTTTGGTGATATCATTTGAAAAACAAACATTTGAATTGAAAAATCACAAGTATATAACAAAAAGAATAGCTATCCAGCATCTACTTCGATCAATGTTCTTAAAAACAGGCGGGGGACTTTGAGACATCGACTTTGACTATGAGATTGAACCAGTGAAATAAAAGAGAATGACAAGAATAGAGAACCTCACAGCTGACTCCAGTTTACCCTCAGGCATGTACAGGAATGGTGATACTCGGAAATTTGGCTCATCACTATGCCGCAGAGCTGAACCCAATTCATCCATCACATACCTACACATAATGCAACACAAGTCATTCACGTGACTATATTAGGCTATTAGCATATATAACTCCCAGTCAGCAACATCTAGATTGCATAATTTTTAATTTAAGAATTTGCAAATCCAGAGTCAGCAGGATTGTAGGCAGACCAGGGGCTGYTTGGTTGGTTTTCCATTAATTCCTTAATGCATAAAGCTGCCTGCATGGATTAATCTATCTGTATAAATTGGGAGGGTTTTTGTTTAGGAGGGTTTTTGTTTAGATGGAAGGWGTGCATTTTTTAATTGGGAGGGACAGGTTTGGAAAAAACTTGGCTTTCTGCATAAAGCTCCCCCTTAAAAGCTTACGAATAAGCCACTTTCTATCTGATTAAGCTACTACCAAACAATCATGTATGGCTGATCAAATAAGTTGTGACTCCCATTAAGCTCATTAAGCTGCTAACAAACGAGGCCCTAAATAGATAGCATGAGAAGTACAAAGAAAGTCCAATTTTCTGTTCCAACAATGAGACGATAGATTACTCCATAAAAAAGAATCATAATAGAAGGTTAACACTTCTAAGGGCATTGAACTGAAATGTGTACCATATAGATGTCTCATCGATCTTCTCCTCATCTGCTAATCTATAAGACATTAAGTATAACCACATGGCATTCAAGACCCGGTCAACTAAGGGTTCATCAGCARTCCACTCGGGAAGACGTGGACGAAGCATTGAATCAATCACCCTCCTTCCAGATTCTAGGACTCTTGTTGTATTTACACCGTTTAGTAGAGAAAGAGTAGGAAGAGATTCAGCAATCTCGACCGCACTATCTCCAAGAGGACCAGGAATATCCACCTGTTGCATAGCTAGTATCAGCAAGTGCTTGTGTGGATTAAAACATAGAAGATAGCTTTCCTGATTGAAGATACCTCCAGCGCATCTAAGCTGGTAAAGGCTTTTAGAAGTTGCAGTAAGTCAGAAATAGAGTGATCATCTAGTGGATTTCCTCGAAGATTCAAATAGGAAAGAGAYGGCATAGCATCAGATGAAAATCCCTAGAAAAGAAGTTGCAAAACACAAGTACATAATATGTTAGAAAACCATTTCATGCATAGAACATAAATGACAAGTGGACACTTAAGCTGGAAAAACAAATAAAGTGRGGCAAGCAAAGAACCTCCAGCATAGTAAGAAAAAGATTATATCTGCATGTATATAGGATTTCAAGTTGCACTTAGGGTCTATTTGTTAGCAGCTTAATGAGCTTAATGGACTCGCAACTTATTCAGTCAGCTATACATGACTGTTTGGTAGTGGCTTAATRATACAGAAAGTGGCTTGTTCGGTAAGCTTCTAGGAAGCTTTACGCAGAAAGCCAAGTTTTTCTGAAACCTTCCCCTCCCAAGTAACATGCTCCTTCTATATATGAAAATACCCTCCCAAATAAAAACCTTTTCAATCTATATAGACATTAATCCACACAGRTAGCTTTATCCGTAGACTTAATGGAAAACCAACCAAACAGCCCCTTACTAAATGTTCTGAAAGTAAGATAGACACACAGTGATATTTAACTAGATAAGAAAAAAGCAATATTCTGGAATTCGTCATGAGCACAATAGAACTTAAATTAAGGTGATGAACAGATTATACCTTGTTGTGTAGGCTGTGAATACGCCTATTTGAAAGGTCAAGAGAAGTCACGCCCTGCAAGGAGTGGTCATTGTCATGTCCACAGCCTGGATTGTCTTTGTCATAGATTCCTCCACGGAAACCCAAGGCCCACTCCGTATATTTACTTGTAAAAGATGAGTTTAAAATTTCCAGTCKCGAGCAATTACGAAGAATAACATCTGTAACATAATCATCACTAAAGATAGAATTCTTCAGTTCTATCTCTGTCATGCCAACAACTATGAGTTTAAAAAAATAATTAGAAAACTATCTTATATGCAACCAAGAAACTTACCAATTCTCTAGGAGTGGGTTATTGTTCAGCCAGAGAGCTCTAAGGTGTTTAAATTTCACAATTTCCTTGGTAATTGTCTCAGCGACCTTAAGCTTGTTGCCACACAGACTAAGTGCAATTAAATCCTACAGAATTTAAGCAGCAAAAAGCAAAAACTGATCTCTCAATAATCAAGGCAAAACTCTCAAAAAAAAACTGCATGTTATCACAATAATAGCAGCTCATAGAAGCATTTAGACGTCATGTARATGACAAAACACATATTGTGGAAGAGGCAAAGAGTTGTCATCAAGGATGTCGAACAAAAAAAGATAGAGAAAAACTTTTGAGATACAACTTGACCTTAAACAAACTTATCTCTAATGACAAATTTTACAGCTGTGTAATAATGTATCTCTAATGACAAACTTATCTCCAACAGTAAAGACAGTCCTCTATCAAGATTGAGCTGCTAAATCCATTAGGGCTTCAAACTTAACTTTACAATGTGGAGATCATCAGCAGCAAGTAATGTACTCTTCATCCAATGTCTATTAACGCGCAAAAAATCATTGGCTTATCAAATTATCTATCGAGCAGTGAAAAAGATTCAACAAAAGACAGAAACAAATCCACTATCTGTTTTACATCAAGCAATACATGGAGTAACTCCKGATATAGCAGTAAAAGCAAGACGTGTAGGTGGATTGACTCATCAAGCTCCCATTGAAATAGGATCCACACAAGGAAAAGCACTTCACARATATTTGAGATTTTTTGCTTATATGWGTTTTTTCAGTACTTCCATGTTGGGATTAGTTACTAGTTCAAATTTGATACAARTTTATGTTTTTTGGGAATTAGTTGGAATGTAATTGAAGGCAAAGAAGGAAGAGTTCGTGAGACTCTGCTTGGTAAACGGGTCGATTATTCAGGGGGGTCAGTGATCCTCGTCTATTGAGCGGCCGAGAATCTTATGTCAAAAGGACCATTAAAAGYGGATATGCAACAGCTGATTTGATTTGCTACAACTAATCTGCGAAAACAAATATCTTATATAAGAATAGAAACCTCATATCCRCAGTTCTATGCCGATAGGTACTTCGATGTGCCTTGCTTGCATCCCCGATTAAATCAACTGACTATTCAACCTTTTCTTATCTAATGAAGGAACTGAGTTTTAGATGTATACAGAGGGAAAGTCGTGCCAATCCAACACAAGTCCCTCTTTTTACTACTATTTCAATTTAAGTTCTTGTATTTTTCACCTCTTAGAAAGAAAAGAACTTAAATCAAAATACTTAATAGCATGACGATACATTTATACAAAACTTCTAATTGAATTATTCCAAAATTATATATATATATAACATTGAGGTAGACACATAATATTACAAATTTAATACCATAATAGAGGGGGATTTGGAGAAGAGAATATAAGCAGCTTTAGTTGTATCAGCTAGAAACCTTGCATTTACATAGACAAAAATATGAAGACAATTAGAATCTGAGCAATGRTAACATACGGGAAATTTGCTAGGCAAATCAAGGGATACAAAGACATCATCGTCAATGTCAAGATCATCAAGTTCCAACCACACTACAGMATCCTGACCCTCCTTTTTCGTTTTTTGAACTTCTCTCTCCACAATTTCCGTAACAGCCAATTTGCTATCCTCCAATTCACAACCTACATCATCTGCCTCTGCAAAGTCTGAATTCAAATCAACATCCACACACATCAAAGAAGCCATTCTCTCTGCCAACCCTGGAACTTCTTGCAACTGTTTAAGTGATACATATAGTTCAAATCAATATAGATAAATTTAAAAAAGAACATACAAAACGTWGTATGGTATTACCAAAATGTATGTTAAGTATATCACATATGTACTGATTCAATTTCATTTAGGAGAAAAAGAATTCCATACTCACATATCYCCATACTAGGAAACTTAGGAATGAACGAGTTCCCAACTGTTCCAGGTGCTATATCATCTACCGGTTCAATTTTTCACTACTTTTTCACCTCCCCCCACATTTATATGAACCAAACTACCAACAAGAAGAAAAAAAGTAAATTTTGCACTGGGCTATTTCTTTCTTTCTATGAAGCCAATCTAGCAAATATTACTAAGCTTACCTTTTTTCCCATTACCAAGTCATAAAGATGCCAGCATCATGCCTCTACAAACATCAAAAATTTCAAAGTATGTGTTTTAAATAAGTTTTATACAARTGGGTTATGGAATTTACTGAAGTTCATTTTTTTTTTGTCACTGTAGTAGTATCATTAGAATTATTTCACAATCATGTAGATGCAGGATGTAGCTTTGTGTTAGTAAGAGCTTTCTAAGCAATGTCCGCATCATGATAAAGAAATAAGTTGTATCAAAATTTAGAACAGTAGATATGCTGCTACRCGACTTATAACGATTGGTTAAATTGTCGTAGCAAAGCTTTTCTTAGTGAGCTATCATCGTCCAGCGATCAATTTTACTTGCAGTTTAAATAAGTCATAATGGAATGCAAAATTAACTACAATTTCAATTCTTCACAGTGACCTCTCATCGTCTAGTAATCAATTCTTTGTGCAATTTATAGCCACGATTTCAATAACCACAGAAGATTGCATGGAAAGCCAATTAACCTGTTTGGGGGCATCTGAAAGGCGAAAGGATAAAGCATGATCAACGAGAAAAATGTTTGATTCCTTTCCCATGGAATCCGAAGTGAGGACGAGACGCCTTTGGCGGCCATCCTCGACGGGCTCCACCTGGAAGTAGTTGCCGCCGTCGAAAGTTTCAGTAGAMAGTTTCTCAAAGAGTTTCCGGTAAAGCGACTGAGGTATACCCGCAGCTGCAAGTAGCAGACCGTGAACCTTCACGAAATCTTCAAACGTTTGGATAGTTCCGGCGTCGGCCATCACGGAGGAGCGTTTTATTGTGTTCCTTGTGCCGGAGAGGGTTTAATAAAAGGGCTTTCCGACAGGGATAGGGGTTTGAAATTTTGCTTGGAAGTTGGGTTGGGATACAAGATTTGGGCCTTCATCCTACATAAAAGTAGGTCCAAAACTGAACCAATTAATTGATCCACTTCTGTTCTGACAATTCTTTAAAAAATAATAAGGGTCTTAAATGTTATTTGGTCTAATCCCAATATATTATGATTACAAGAAATCAGTCCTGATAGATTTAATACCCACAATTATTGTATACGTCCGRAATCAAACCCTTTACAGATAGGATATTTCACCACATCCCTCAGGGCCTCAACCACTACGTCACAACCCTTGTGGTTCAAATTAGAGATGGTCAAAAATCGGTTTCARCCTAATTCCAAATCAATCCCGAGCCGAGAAAGTTAGTTTATAACCGGGTTGGTCGATCCTAGTCCCGGTCCCGACCAAGAATACCGGTACTTATTTTAGGTCCTGCAATCTTTCTCAACCTTTCATATCGGGTTCCCCCCCCCCCCTTTTTTAATGTTATACAAGTTTTTGTAACTATGATTTTTAAAATTGAATATTCTGAAACACTTTAAATATTACATTTGTTTTAAATAAATTTGGAAATTTTGTATTACATTTTGTAAATCTGTAAGAATTAGATTTATATAAAAATCGGACTCTATGCATAACCAGTTGTAAAACAGGGTCAAAWTTTTCAAGAAAACCCATAATTGGTCTCTGCTAATCCCAACCGGTTCTATTTTTGGTTCCCGACAGTCACGATTTAAAATATGAATAGATTACAATATTGTATTGTCAATACCAGTATGATTTTGTGCATTTTAACTAAAATGAATTATAAACAAAGTTGCTATAATCCATTAAAAATGTTTTGTATTAATACAGAAAATTAATAATCAACACTCATATGATGTTTGTTTTTTAAAAGGTGTCAAAGTCTTGTTACAAATTTTGGTTTATAATAGGTGGTCCTAAAGTCTAAAWTCTGAACCAAAAAGATGGTTTGTTTTTGTAAAACTGACAAAYGTCTGAAATCTGAATCAATAAGACTATTTATTTTTGTAAAATGACAAAGAMCTAAAGTCTRAAATTTGAATCAATARTTTATTTTTGAAGYYGRGAWGARAAAGGACAAATTAGTATTATGACAAGGTGTTGGTCATTTTATTCATTTTGCTAACATCCAACAATGTTGGCATCCTTTGTTTTTGGACTAATTCAACCAACCACTTTTGACCTTTGGAGTCAGAGCTTAAATCAAYCGGRCACCACCCTTATGGTTAAATAACATCCCATAATGTCGGTAKTCTTTGTTTTTGGACTAMCCGAACCAATCACTTTTGGCCTTTGGAACCAATCGGACACCATCCTTATGGTTAAATAACATCTCATAACGTTGGCATCCATTGTTTTTGGACTAATTGAAGCCATCCCTGATCTATGACAGGAAAATAAGGCCAGAARCATAAAAGGATTTGGTGTTTCATACTCATCCATCAATTAGACATGGTGCAAAAGCAGTCCTTTTACCAATTAGGGTGATGTGCCACGACTCAAAACGACGTCTAACAAGAAACGTTCACCTGTTTTGATCTAGCTTCTGTATCGTATTAACAAGCTATGGTCGTCAAAGTCTTGTGTCTCATTACTTATCTCCGATCAAATGAGAAAGGGAAACAATAATAATGGATGGTAACACCATCCACAACACAACAGTCTTTCGGTATGTCTTTCAAAACAACTGCAAGTGTAGCCGGCTTGCCATGTAGACCATATATGAAAGCCATCCTTCTAAGACCCAACTAGCCACATACCCTTTTCGCACCAATGCCATCTTTACCGTAAACACAGACCTCACAAGTGCCCCATCACATATTCAAAAGAACCCAGCAACACAGAAGCTAGTAGACAAGGATGAATCACCTGTCTGTATGAAAATGATCAGAAATCAAACAAGGAACACATGATTTTTATGATATAAAAGTGTTCAGCCACATAACTATGATCAAGGAAGGTTTCTGTCATTTTCCAAATAGCAAATCGAATCACAACCCACAAGGACGAAATCGAGAGAAAGAACTGGAGAGGAGGGGAGATCGAAATGAAAACATAAACCGGATGAGAGGGGAGATCGACTGRATTTGATCTCGATTTGGGTTGACATCGATTTGGAGGCGTATGAACCGGAGGCGTAAGAAGCCGATATGAACCTGAGGCGAGGCGGCGATTAAGAGGCGTTAAAAGAAGTTTGGTTACTACTTTTTGGTTGTTTGTTTAACCGGCAACATCTGAATCGTTAAGAGGTGAATCTTATTTGGTAAAAATAAAATCTGTTTTTTAATAGTTTTAAAATCTTCTGAATGATTTTGTATCACAATCCTCCTTTAACCATTAAGCGCTCTAATTTCATTGTAAACAATTACCAAACAATTATATTTCATTTTGCACTATATCATGGAGAGCCTCTTAATCATTCTGCATCAAACCATTCAGCATCAAACCATTCAGCAACTTCTAAACAGCCCCTAAAAGTMAAGACGGTCAGAAAAAAAGTGGAAAAACATACAGTTTGAATGTAAAAACGTCTAATTAAATCAGACATAAGTAGTATTAAACATTTTTGGGTGTTTGGATAAACAKTTTATAYTGGTGTCAARCCGRTAATAARAAGTTTTTAAAGAAGTTAAACGATTYTAACTTATAATAAGTTGATAARCACTTTTATAGAAAAGCATAAGTTATTACAAATAAACAATTCCAAACACCCCTAAAAGATAAAATTTTATTTAACCCGTTTTCTTTTATAATAATTTTCTAATATAACAAATTTCAACAGTTTAATATATAATATAATCTAAACCGACCATTTTCCAGAGTAAATTGGCAAAAACGGGAACTGTGTTTTTCCAACGGAAATAATTGGATCTTACTCGTCATTAACTTTGAATTCAATTCCGCTCTTTATTTTATGGGTCACTTTTTATTTTCCCATTTACAAACGTACACCGGTTTCTCTTCTGCTTTTTTTTGTTGTTGTGGGACCACTCACATTTAATTCATGGTATTGCCTTCTTACCTATAAAGATATATCGTGTTGTTTTAGAACAGATCTGGTTAGTTTTTTTTATAAAACCAAATGGTTTCTTTTATTTTCATTCACATTAATTACTATTTAATACATCTTATCAAACACCTATATATTGAACATGTACATAACTAGTTATAAAAAACCGATATGATTTTTTTTAATATTCATATGAAACTTAAAATGTTTCAAAGATACAAAGCAATAGTCGAGCTAGTAAAACGACGAGCTAGTAAAACGAGATATCCTATTGAAGTGAACGTTCACAAAGATCGGGAAGTAGTAGCCGTAAATCTATCCACTCGTGTAGTTTTAGGCCGCAGATGTCTACTTTTCTTTAATATGGAATTCAAATCAGATCCTGCAGACTGCAGTTTAACCACTGGAGGAGAGTGTGTGAGCTTGCTTTCAAAAGTTTACAGTTTCCCAAGTTGATTATTTGTGTAYCGTTTGGTTTTAAAAGAATGTCGAGTTAGTTAATTTCAATAAACTTTAATCTTATAAATATTAAACAATTAACGATAAGCGTATTCAATTAAAAACACCTATGTGTATAAAAATGCATTGACAGTATATTAAATGTGTTTTATTATATTTGTATTTCACAACGATATCAATAAAAATATAGTTAGATTTAAAGAATAACATAATTCGTTCACGTTCTTTATTAAAAACAGAAAATGATTTTCGTTTTTCAAAAATATAAAGAGACTTTGTATCATTTTCTTTTATTTTGCTTTTACAATGAAACAGTTTCAAAAAAAACTGTATTTAATTTAATCTCTCATATAATCATATAAATTCATAAAATAAAATTRAAAAAAAAACAAGAAAAAATATACTACACGACATCGATTGCAACTAGAAGTCAAGCCGAGCTTTTCCTCCCCTAGATTTGCCTTCTCGTTGTACCGAACAGAGGTTTGATTTAAACGATCAGGTACAACATCGCTGCTACAATTGCTTCAGCGGGAGCTGCTATCAGAAAGTGAGTTGTAGAACGAGAGACTTTATCTGCACGAACGAAGTGAGAACTAGAGAGGACAAAAGCTGAATAGAGAGACCGGGTAAATGGTCCAAGGGTCCTTGTCCAAATGCGGCTTCTGTTAGCATGAACATGAATTAAATTCTATTCGTCTTCTTTATTCAGCCCCCACCCGAACCATTCTTAAGACCACCAAGCCCTCCCGAATGAGTTCTACTATAGAAGCTTTCAACGTAGACCCGGGGGCAAATCTTTCGATTCCCTATGACGATGGAAAATCTTTATACTTTTCCTTCGAGTGCCCATGCCATTAGACTAGGTACTGAGCTCTCTAGAAGACAAACAAAAAGGAGCCATAACAACCTCTTGATAAAGCATGGCACGTATATAATTTTAATATTTTATTCATCTATGGATGAGTATATAAGATTATTTACCTATTCAAAGATTATACCCATTTACAACATGATAAAGTTATTTTAAACATATATGTGTGTGTTTGAGTTCACGTGAGACCAATCTATTTTTGTGAGACATGTGAAACCATCATTTTACACTTAAAATTTCATAATAAAACGTTGTTAAGGTTGGAAAAAACAAACCGAATCTTCACAGCAAACACTGTGAAGGTTGTTTTCACAGCGTTTTGTTTTTCAAGTGTAAAAAATAGTCTCACGTGAACTCCACTTTATATATATATATATACTATATTATAAAGCATTTGACAAAAACTCTTAAAAACCATTTTTTATGCATGAAGTAATGCATATTGATGCATATTACTTAAAATTCAAGATTACAAATAAATTATGCATAAGTACAACTTATTAAAGCTCCAATTTTTAAATTTGTGTAACTAACTGCCGATAAAAATAATCAAATACGATATAAATATTCATT